GTTCTTCCTGCCCCTGGGCTCCGGGGGTGCCCTGCACCTGCCCGCTTCCTCCTTCCTCACCCCTGCTAAGGACAAGTGCCTCTCGCCTGAGCTGCCCCTGCCCAAGCAGCTGGTGTGTCGCTGGGCCAAGGTAAGTGGGGCCAGGAGGAGAGGGGTGTGGGGCCGGGTGGGTGGTGCCATGTGGGGTTCAAGCTCTCCCCACCGTGCAGTGTAACCAGCTGTTTGAGCTCCTGCAAGACCTGGTGGACCATGTCAACGACTACCACGTCAAGCCAGAGAAGGATGCTGGGTACTGCTGCCACTGGGAGGGGTGTGCCCGCCACGGCCGGGGCTTCAACGCCAGGTGAGGGGGGCTGGTGCAGGGCCCTGGGGCGGGGGCTGGGCCCCGGCGACCAGTGAGCTGACACACTTCCCCTTGCCTGTGTCCCACCTGGAGCAGGTACAAGATGCTGATCCATATCCGCACGCACACCAACGAGAAGCCGCATCGCTGCCCCACCTGCAACAAGAGCTTCTCCCGCCTGGAGAATCTGAAGATCCACAACCGGTCACACACAGGTGAGGGTCACACACAGGTGAGGTCACAGGTGAGGGTCACACACAGGTGAGGGTCACACACAGGTGAGGTCACAGGTGAGGGTCACACACAGGTGAGGGTCACACACAGGTGAGGTCACAGGTGAGGGTCACACACAGGTGAGGTCATACACAGGTGAAGTCACAGGTGGGATCCCACAGGTGAGGACACACACACAGGCAAGGTCGCACACAGGCAAGGGTCACACCAATGAGGGGACACACAGGTGAGGATCGCACACAAGTGAGGTCACGCACAGCTGAGGGTCATATACAGGTAAGGGGCATGAATGAGGAAGGGGACTACAGAGGACTCAGCCTTGGGCATCCAGGAAGCAGGCATCCCAGGGCAGGGGCATTCAGATAGATTAGAGGCCCATCTGTTTGCCTGAGTGCCATCTGGTGAGGGGAGCCCTCCTGTGGGTTGAACCCTGACTACTCAGCGCCTAGCCACGTCGTCCTCTGTGGTGCTCAGCACAATCATGTGTTTCCCCTTATAGACTGTGTGCTTCCTGATGGCACAGACGGTGTCTGCTTCAACCCTTGCGCCCTTGGCACACAGTGGGGCCACTGCTGGCCAAGAGAAAGAGATCGCCAGCTACATCTGTAATTTACAATTTTCTAATTGCCACGTGAAAAGACAGGGGTGGAATTAATCATGGAAGATGTTTTATGGAACCCAGTGTATCTCAGTATTAGAAATGAGAAGTCCCTGGGGGGCGCAATGGTTAACGCATCTGCTGCTAACTGAAAAGTCAGCCATTTGAGTGCCTTGGAAGAAAGGGCTGGTGATCTACTCTGGGAAGATGATAGGTTTTAAAACCTTTGGAGCCCCGTTCTCTAACAAACAGAGTTGCCGAAAGTCAGAATCGACTTCTTGACAACTCCAGCCAAAACCAAACTCAAGTACCATTCAGCTGCTTCTGGTTCACAGCGACCCCCACTGGGTTCACAACATTGTCAATCTTTATGGAAGCAGACTGCCTCAGGTTTCTTCCATGGAGCCACTTGCTGGTGGTTTCAAACCACCGACCTCTTGGTTAGCAGCCAAATGCCTTTACTGCGCCACCAGGGCTCTCTTGATGACAACTGGTTATGAAAACAGTCTTGAAACCCAGTGTGTACTTTCCATGCGCGGCCCTGCACCGTTCAGATCAGCCATGTCCCAAGGGCTCCACGGCCACGTGTGGCTGGAGGCTCCCATCCTGGTCAGCGCAGTAGCAGAGCTCAGTGTATGCAGAGCCAGTCTGGAGTCGGGACCGAAAAAAGGGGCAGCCAGGGTCCTGGCAGTGAGTCATCTCCACAGTCACTGTTCCATGGGTCAAGGTAGTTCCCACTGTCTGAGGTCCCAGCAGAGCGGCAGCAGGCAGGGCCGAGTTCCCCATAGCTGGTTTGGCTGTCCCCACCTGTGCTGGGGGTGGACACCCAAACTGGACAACCATGCTCTCGGGGAACTCCGGGGCTGGGGGATATGGGGCTGGGGGAGAGAGAGCCCTCACGCCCATGGCCTGCCCCACAGGTGAGAAGCCTTACGTCTGCCCCTATGAGGGCTGCAACAAGCGGTACTCCAACTCCAGCGACCGCTTCAAGCACACACGCACCCACTACGTGGACAAGCCCTACTACTGCAAGATGCCTGGCTGCCACAAGCGCTACACGGACCCCAGCTCGCTGCGCAAGCACATCAAGGCCCACGGCCACTTCGTGTCCCACGAGCAGCAAGAGCTCCTGCCGCTGCGCCCACCCCCCAAGCCCCCCCTGCCCGGCCCCGACGGCAGCCCCTATGTCAGTGGGGCTCAGATCATCATCCCCAACCCCGCCGCCCTCTTCGGAGGCCCTGGCCTGCCTGGTCTGCCCCTGCCCCTGGCCCCTGGCCCCCTCGACCTCAGCACACTGGCCTGTGGCAACGGCGGGGGTGGCGGGGGTTCGGCAGGCATAGGCCCTGGGCTGCCAGGCCCTGTCCTGCCGCTCAACCTGGCCAAGAACCCGCTGCTGCCCTCCCCGTTTGGGGCCAGTGGACTGGGCCTGCCCGTGGTCTCCCTCCTGGCCGGCTCTGCTGGCAGCAAGGCTGAGGGGGAGAAGGGGCGTGCGTCAGGGCCAGCCAGAGCCCTGGGCTTGGAGGGCCGCAAGACGCCACTCGAAAGGACTGAGGGCAGCCGCTCCCGGCCCAGCCCTGATGGACCACCCCTGCTGCCAGGCGCTGTGCTGGACCTGTCCACCGGACTCGGCTCAGCAGCCAGCAGCCCAGAGGCGCTGGCTCCGGGCTGGGTGGTCATCCCCCCTGGTTCCGTGCTGCTCAAGCCAGCCGTGGTGAACTGAACACCCAGCTCCTGGCCCCACCGCGACGAGCGGAAACCTTTCTGCGAAATAGCAATAATGCCCTCCCGCCCGCGGGGACCGGCCGCCTGTGCTCCCGGCAGACCAGCCCAGACTCGCTGGCCCCCAGGATGGGGCTAGGGCACTGCTGGCTCCCAAGGGAGGCCTGGAGCTGTTGTCCAGAGAGCTGGGCTCCTGGGTGCTAAGGTGGTACCCACTTCTGGCCCTCCTGCCCCGGTTCACTGCACCCTCTGTCCCGCTGTGATTCCTACCCCGGAGCCCGTCCTCCACCCCGTCCACCTGTCAGCCGCAGGGAGGGTGGGGACGGGTGGCGCCTGCCCCCACCTCAAGACTGCTGTGACCAGGAGCCCCCTGGGAAGCAGAGGCCCCACCTACTCCTGCCTAGCTTCCGACAACCCTGCTCCCAGGGCTCTGTGAAACCCTTTCCCGCTGACCCACCCTCCACAGGGAGGCCAGAATAGACGCAGGCCGTGGTAGAGCCACAGAGAGAAGCCACCGTGTTCCTGCTCACCCCACGACAAGGTGCCTCCTGCTTCCTCCAAGGGAGGCCTGCTCTGCCCACTGCTGTGCCATGCCCCCTTCCAGAAACAGCCAGCAATGCTGAGGGTTGGACGATGGTGACAGTCCCCAGGGCAGGGACACCTGCCCACCCCACCTGTTCCCTCACCTCTGAGCCTCCCAGGAACCCCGGGAACATGGAAGCAGGTCCAAGGAGTCTTGGGCAGGGGAGGGCAGAGGTACTAGGTGGCGGCAGTGGGCCAGGGCAGAGGTCTGAGCGACAGGCCAGCCCCTGCTCAGGGAACAGGTGGGCCAGCTTCTTGGCTCCTGGGGACCCCTGCAGCTTGCCTGAAGCACGTCCACCTTGACTGGTCACCAGAGTTACCCTGCGGCTGGGAGGCTGGCTGGGGAGACTACAGGCTGGGACACCGCTCCTGTTCTGGGTGCCAGGCCATGACTGCCACACAGGAAGGTGGAGAGCAGAGCCGTGCCTGAGTAGCCCTTCACTGGGGAGGGAGGCTGGACGAAGGATCGGGATGGGGCTTTCGTGTCCTGCGGTAGCCCCCTTCGTCCCAGTGCCCTGGCCCAGCTGCCCGGTCTACGCTGCCCCAGAAGACCTGGGCTAGGTTCAGCAGAGGGTAAGCCCTGTGTACTACAGCCACTGCCAGACCCAGGTGGCTGGGCCCCCACCATCCCTGGGACTCCCACTGACCCCTTCCACGGTGGAGCACTAGCCTGGCCGCTGGCACCTCTTGGCTGCTGGCCTTCTGTCCTTAAGGCTGCAGGCTGACTGAGCCCCTCCACCTCCCCAGTCGAGGTGTGGGGTCCCCAGCAGCCCTGTGGTGCTCCTGGCTGCCCCCTGGAGCAGCTTGCTGGCCCCATCCCTTCCTGGACTGCCCTTCTGTCCCAGAGGGGTCACCCTGATCGGCACCCCTGCTGCCAGGCCTAGGACCCCAGTCCCTGCCAGTGTTGTCTCTGCCCCTCGAAGGGGCTGTGAGCCAAGTAGGAGGGAGCTGGCCTCCCTTCCCCAGGCCTCCCACTGTGCTGAGGGCCCCAGGCCAGGAGTGCTGGGGGCAGGCACTGGCGGGCTGGCAACGTGTGATTAGTGATAGACCAGGCTGTCCAGCCAGTGGGCGTGTTGTCTTGTCAGTCTGTTGTTGCACACCCCAGGATACCAGTATTTAACAGGTTCTAAGTGCCTTTCTATTGTAGCTTGTTTCTCTTCCTCTCAGCTCAGTTGCTGTTAGCATAGAGTTTTTTTTAAAAAAAGGATAAGCTAATGACTATAACAATATATTCCTCCATGTGAGAGGAAGTTTATAAAGAAACAATAAAAGTGAGCTGGAGAGGCGGGTCTGTGCCTTGGATGCGCCACCAGTAGGCCTGTTGGGGGTCTCTGACCACCCCAGCCCTTGACTTTGGGGAGAGCTCAGTTCCCTGAGCCTTGTAGGCTGGGGGTCCCCTTCTGTCACAGGTTCCCAAGACCCCAGATTCAAACCCAGCTCCGGGTATGCAGCTGGCAGGAGGGGCATTTATTACAAGCGATAAATTAGAGGGGAGGGCAAGGTGGGGAGAATGGTGGTCGCGTCCTAGGCGCCTGTTCCTTCTCTGTTCTCCTGGGCCTGGATCTTGAGTTCTTCGTCCAGCCGTTCCTTTGCGCGGACCACCTGGGGTGCGGTCACACAGTGAGGCAGGGCCACGTGCCTGCGAGGCCTCCCCTACTGCCAGCAAAGGATGGTCTCTCCTCTTCCTGGCAGCGAGTCCCCTATGATCCCTGGGCAGGTCTGGCTGAGCCACGACTTGTGTGGAGTACAAAGTCATCTCTTGGTGTCCCTTAAGGCCAGCATGGCAGCTGAGCAAAACGGGGCTCCAGCACGCCACCAGCTGACTATCCATGCCCTCAAGAGTCCTGGCTGTGAGCTGGGACCACGTGGATCATGGCCGCCAAGGGAGTGGTCATGTGGGCATACCCCCCTGGGGCTGGGAAATCAGGGATGGAAGGGCCTGGCACCTTCCCACCCTCCAAGCTCTTGGGCCACCAGATCCCCCCGCTGCCCACGGGGGCCCCGGTGAGGAGAGGTGCTGTGGTTCAAGCCCACCCGCCCCAATCAAAGGCCACTCACCTTGGACTGCAGGTAGAAGGAACCACCTACAGACTTGTCGTTCACCTTGAACAAATGTTCATAGTTCTACAGAGAAGGGGAGACAGATTAGAGTGGTCACCCTGATTGGCGTCCCTGCTGCCAGGCCTGGGACCCTAGGGCCTATTACTAGAAGACAGAGAAGAAAAGCTGAAAGGCCTGAGCCCTGCACCTGCCTGTCATGCTTCCCCGCGGGGCTGCTGCTACCACCTCCAGAGGCAGAGAATGGGAGGTGCCCACGGGGGAGGGGGTCAGCTGCTGTCACCAGCTGCTGCTGTCTCTGCAACTGCCTCAGGCCTGAAAATTAACAAGTGACAGGCTGCCCCCAGAGCCTCCCTTCAGGGCCCCCGCCCCGCCCATCCTGCCTCACCTTCTGGACCTCCTCAGGGCTTAGCTTGCAGACGTTGAGAATCTGCTGGGCCTCCTGCAGGCTGAGGCCAGAGAGGTTGGAGGCAGCAGCAGACTGGTGGCCGGCACGTCCCCGGGCGTCAGCTGCTGCCCGGCTGGCTGTGTAGACACACGGCGAACATTCAGCCCTAGACGGCCCTGAGGCCCAGAGCTCCCCGGGGCCTGCCCTGTGGCATGGGGGTCAGGGGAGGTCAGACAAGCCCACTGGAGGGGAAGGGCAGGGTCTGGCCAGCAGACTTGCATCTGGTGCCCAAACCAGAGCAGGGGTGGGGATCCTGCGTCTCGGCTCTCCCTCTCCTTGGCTGAGGGCACAGCTTTAGGCTGCTCTGGGGACCAGAGGGGAGATGTGGGCAGAGGTGGCAGCAGGAGCTCGGCCAGGACAGCCCTCCCAACACACACCCCGCCCGCCCGGCCGTCGATGCTTCCCCTCAACGACTCAAGAATCAGAAACTGGTAGATTTTGTCTTAAAGGGCCAGAGAGCACGTATTTTAGACTCTGAGGGCCAAAGTGCCTTGGTCACAGTTACTCAACTCTGACACAAAAGCAGGCAGACAATACATAAATGGGTGGGTGTAGCTGTGTTCCAATAAAACTTTATTTACAAAATAGCCATTCAGACCGCCAGAGTTGCCAACACCTGCCCTTACTGTTAGTGCCTAAGGCACTTGACTGCTAACCAGAAGGCTGGCGGTTCAAACCCACCAGCCACTCCTTGGAAGGAAGATGGGGCAGTTTACTTCCGTAGTGATACTGCCTCGGAAACCTAAGGAGGGGTCGCTATGAGTTGGGTTCGTCTCCACGGCACATAACAACACTGCTGAGTCGATTGTGACTCACGGCGACCCCTTGTGTGCTGAGGGGCACTGCCCCACAGGGCTTTCAAGGCTGTGACCTTTGGGAAGCAGGTCACCAGGCCTGTCTTCCGAGGCACCTCTGGGTGGGGATGACCCACCACACCTTCCGACTAGTGGTTGAGTGCGTAATGGTTCATGCTGCCCAGGGACCCCCTACCCTGCCCTGGGAGCTCATTCTGACTGGGCAGGACGAGGGGAAGAAAGCCCGTGCCCCCCCCCCCCCGCGGTGGGGAAGTGTCAGAACCCCAGCTGCAGAGAAAGATGGCGCAGTCAGCGTCCGTAAAAGATGGGCAGCTTTGGAATCCCCACCTGCCCAGCCTCAGGAGCCCACTGCCACCTAAGCCCGGGGAAGTCAGGGCCTGCGCTCACCTGCAAACTCCTGCCGCAGGGCCCGGGCAAAGGCCCTGCCCACCACCTGCACGCCCATCACGATGATCTGGGCCAGGTACTTGGCCTGCAGGCAAAGCGACCTCCAGTTAGCAGGCTCCATTCTCACACTCCAGGGAGGAACCCTGGAGGTGGCTTCATTTTGATCGAGAAGTGAAGAGGGACTTCTGTTGGGCAGCAGACACAGCCGCCTCCCTCCACAGCACCCTGGTAATTCCATTCTGGGGGCTTCAGGATGACATCTGCCGGAACCCCCAGAGGCAGCCAAGTCCCTCCCGCGGTCTTCAGGAGAGAGGCAGAGACGAGCCAAAGTAAAGTGTCCTGAAGGCAAGAGGCCAGTGGCCCGTCCGGATCCACCACCAGCCCCTTAGATAGCCTGTGCCCGCCTTCATTTTACAGAGGGGAAACTAAGCTGGATTCGCATTCCTCCAAGACTCCAGGTCCTAGTTTTGCTGATGGCGCTGTTGTTGGTTCTGGGACTACGGAGACCACCCCCCACACACAGACTGGAACTGCCCCAGAGTGTTTTCTTGGCTGTAATCTCTGATCGCCAGGCCTGTTTCTCCCACAGAACCTACTGGGTGGGTTCAAACCACCAACCTCTGGGTTATCAGCTGAGCACACACCGTTTGCACTACCCAGGGACTTTCAGGTCCTAGGGTTTGAGTCCATCCCATTCAATATAACCGTTACCAAGGGTCTGCCTTCAAGGAGCTACAAGCCCCTACAAGGGTATTTACACGAACACATAAAGGACCAGAAGGAGCTCCAGTGGTGCAGTGGCTAAGCCATGCAGGTGCTAACCAAGATGTTGGTGGTTCGAACCCACCAGCCTTTCCACAGAGAAAGACGGGGCATCTGCCCCCATAAAGGAGTGACAGCTTTGGAAACCCTATGGGGCAGTTCTACCCTGTTCTTCAGGGTCACTGTGAGTCAGAATTGATCGATGACGGGGTATAAAGGACTGAATGATTAGGGACCAAAGCAAACCAGCTGCCATGAATTCCACCTTGTGGCAACTCCACGTGTCCGGACAGAACCGTGAGCCACAGGGTTTTCAGTGGTCGTGCCTTTCCAGAAGTACATCACCAGGCCTTTCTTCTGAGGGCCTCTGGGTGGGCAGAGTATGACTAGTTCATGCGTTCATCTTTTGGTTCATTCATTCAAACACTTGTTGAGTACCTCCCATCACTCTGCCCAGCACCTGGGAGGACGAAGAGACACCGATCACGGCCCTGCCCTCTGATGCCAAAGCCTGTGGACCTACCAGGGGGTGAGATCCCCAACCATAGCACAGCAGGGTGGTTTTACACCTCTAACTGGACGCAGGGAGGGGAGTCTCAGAAAGTGACCAGAGGCTTAGAAAGTGAAGAGGCAAATATCCGGATGAGATGAGATGGCGGGAGAAGGTGCTTCCCCTGGGCAGGGCAGGGGACTGAGGTGAGCCACCCTGGGAGAGAGGAGTGAGGGCTGTCCTGGGAGCAGCCAGAGCCAGGTGGGCTGAGCCTAGGGACCTAGGAAGGAGGCTGAGATGGCTGGCTGCCTTGAGGAATACAGAGATGCACACGGCCTCTGTAAACGATCATTTATATGTGAAACAGGTAACTACGCACAAAGGATGCTGGGAAGCCCACTCCTACCCTGGTGACCTGTGCTCACGTGGGAGTGGCTTTTCCCACCTTCTCTGTACTTTTCTGCCTACTGGTCAACAGACAGTGACTGGGTACCTGTGTGCCAAACACGTCCTTCTTACCACACCATTCACCCTGACTGTGCAGGACACCGAGGCCCAGAGAGGTTGAGTGACCAGCCAAGGACATTCGCCCAGAACACAGGGCAGTAGGGCTGGAATCCAAAGCTGGGACACTGTTAGCCATGCCGTCCCCAAGCTGCCCAGCTTGCCCAGAATCCCGGGGGCTGGAAGGAGGGTGACAGAGCAACCTAACAAGTACTGAGAGCCCAGCCAGCCCAGGGACCAGAGGGGGCTGCCTTAGACTGCGGAGCTGACCTAGCTTAGCCTCTAAAGGACTGGCCCTTTCCTAACAGGTGGGCCGTCATGGAAGTGGTATGCATTTCACAAGTAGGTGAGCCTGCATAGACAAGCAACTCCCCGCTACTGAGATCAAAGCCAAGGGCAAGGCTGTACCCAGCTGGTCTGCAGAGACACACAAATGATGGACACACTTGCTGACAGGTAGTCGTACCTGGCTTGGCATCTCCTTGCCCAACAAGACTCCCAGTGGGGCGAGCGGCCTTACGCCAGACTGCTTTGCTGGTTGGGTGGCAGGGAGGCTCAAGGGCCAGCAGGTGATTCCAAGGGGTCCCCCCAGCCTTGAGCACCTTCCATGGCTGATTCACGCTCCCTGAGGTCTCAGACCATACCTCCTTCGACAGCTTCCTGTCCTCCCCAACCACATCACATGCCTGGCAATCATCTGTTCACCTTCTGCCCAAGGCAGTGACATGCCTAGGTAATGAACCTGACTGCTCCCAGAGTTCTCCCCCATCCCCAGGCTTCAAACCAGTGTGGCACGGGTGGCCCTGCTGTTCTGGCTGCTCAGAGCTGACACGGGCACGGCGAAGGTTGGGCTGGCCTGTTTCGGCAGCTGCGCTAGCTGGCCAGAAGTGATGCCTGGACAGCCTACCGTCACCACCACGGCCGGGTCCCAGCAGGAGGCAGTGCGGTGCATGGGCAGTCTCTGGGACGATTCTGGGGTGCAAATCCCAGCTAAGTTAACTCTGGACAAGTTCTCAAGCCCCTAGAACCTCAGTTTCCTCCCCTGTACAATACAGCCAACTGTTGGCCTGTTGTGTGGGCTGAGAAAATGCTTATAAGGTACCCAGCCCAGAGCCCAGCAGTGTCAGGAGCGCTTGATAAAGACTGCTGGTCCTGTCATCTCCTCCTTCACTGAACCTGACAACGGCCCGGTGCTGAGGCGTGCCTGGGCGTCTCCCCACACACCCGCTCTGTGGCGGAGACCCGCCCCCTCGGCAGTCAGGGCTACAGTTCTGCTGTGGAGTGCAGTCCCAGCTGTGCTGTGCCAGCTACGTGGCCTTAGGCAAATCACTCCACCTCTCTGAACCTCAATCTCTCAGCAGCAGAATGAGGGAATTAACACCCCGCCTGCTGGTGGGCTAGGATGCTCTCACGAGACAGTGCCCCTAAAACGAAGTGGACAGACAGGCAATGCCAGGCCCAGGGCAGGAGCCCAACCGTGTCTTTGCTTCCAGACAAGGTCCGGCTTGGCGTCTAATGCTCTGGACACCAGGCAGTGCAGCCAGCCCCTCATCCTTGCTCAGCACCCAGAGGCACCCCAGGCACCAACTATGGGCCAGGCATGGCTAAGCTGGATGAGAGACCACAGGTGGTCAAGGCCGACACTGGCCGAAGCCACTCCCAGAAAGCCCCAACCAACCTATAGTCCACTGAGAGCCTGACACTCAGGCTGAAGGTCATAGGCAAGAGCAAGCGTCATCAGACCTCAGGCCAAGCTGCGGCCAGGAAGCAGAGGTCAGGGCCACGGGACCCGCACCCTGGGACCCACGGCGGTCAGCCCATGGGCTTTCCCGTCTGTGGAGCAACGTGGCCTTGGCCTTGTGTCCACAGACCTCCACCGGGTCCAGCGCAAGGCCAAGGCTCTGCCACGGCAGCAACGCAGCCCAGACCACGGGGGTGAGGGTGGGAGCTGAGGGACGGGGCTGATCCCGGGCCCTGTGCGTCAAGAAAGGAGCCCAGCTCTCAGACGGGATGGTGTGCAGCGTGCCCTTCCAGGCCCATTTCCCACCCCAGTCTCAAGGACTCTGAGATGGGGGCGCTCTGAAAACAGCTGCTGGCACCTCACTAGACTGGAGGGAGGACAGCACCACACGCTGGCACGGGATTCCCGGGCCTGGTCAGGGGCTGCGCACATTAGGATCAACACCGAACCCTGCCCGCCAGCTCTGCCGCACCCCGAGCTCAAGTGCCATAGGCTCCACGGCCCTGGGCAGGGCTTCGAAATGCCGCCACCTCCTCTGCCGAAACAAAGCGAGGCCCAGGCCGTCCCCTCCTCTCCCCGTCACACACACACACACACACACACACACACACACACCCTCCACCACTACCTGCATTCCATTCAAAAGCTTTCAATGTGCCCCCGACATACTTCTGTTTTTTCTCCTGTCACCTCTCCCCACAGGACAGTCACACCATCCACTCTGAGATCCACTCACACTTCCTTCAGTGTCTGCCACTCTGCGTTCCTCCACCGTCAGTGTCCCCGCCCTGCTCCTCTGCTGGCCGACCCAGCACCCTGCAGGACTTACGCAAGCAGTCAGCTCCTTGTGCAACCTTTCCAGACTCTGCCCGTTTATCCCCCTGCACAGCACTGTCTCTCTGTTCCTGTTCTATGGACCGACTCTCCTCCAAGCCACATTTTACATAAACCCTTGAGGGCTGCTCAGAGTTAAATCAGGAAAGGTAAAGGAAGGACCTAGGTTAGTGAAGTCTTCACTTTACCCACTGCCTGGAGTCGACTCCCACTCACAGCGCCCCTAGAGGACAGAGTGGAACTGCCCCACAGGGTTTCCAAGGCTGTCAGTCTTCACAGAAGCAGAGCCCAAACCACACCCACTGCCTGGAGTCCATTCTGACCCACAGCGCCCCTAGAGGACAGAGTGGAACTGCACCACAGGGTCTCCAAGGCTGTCACTTTACGGAAGCAGACTGCCTCATCTTTCTCCTGGGGAGCGGCTGGTGGGTTTGAAATGCCAACCTTCTGGTCAGCAGCCGAATGCTTTAGCTGCTGTGCCACCAGAGTTCCTTGGGTTCCTCTTACTTTCGTAGTAAACAGCAGTGGCCAGTACAAGGTAGTGACAATGTGGTGGTAAAAATGTCATCTCAGGACATAGAAAAGTCTGGGCTGAAAAGTGACTCTCATCCCCGTGGGCTGTGTAACCGGGAGTTATTTAGACACTCTGGGCTTCAGGTCCTTCTGTGTAAAATGAGGACACAGACAGTGTCTTCTCCCTAAGAGGAGTCCCTGGGAATACCAACGTTAACACATCCGCCTGTATGCTTCTATTCATACATACAATACGTCCAGGAAAGGCAAGGCTCTGGCTGCTCGCCTCAGAAGGAAGGCCTGGCAATCAACTTCGAAACACCAGCTACTGACAACACACTGACACACGTGGGTGGCTGTGAGTTGGGGTCGACTCAACAGCAACTGGTCTACTCCCTAAGAATTAAGCGAGAGGATCTAGGTGAATCCCTCTGCCCTGACCCCGGCATCTGGAAGCTGTCGGTTTGGTTGTTTGCATCATCCTATATGGGGCAATCTACCTCCGTAGTGATACTGCCTTGGAAACCCAAGAAGGGGTCGCTATGAGTCGGGTCCGACTCGACGGCACGTAACAACAACAACAACAAGTGATTATCACGTTCGCCTGACACACGAAAGGTCCCCAGTTTGAAACAGGGCGGAAACACGTTTAAGGAGCTCTGGTGGCGTAGTGCCTAAGGCACTTGCCTGCTAACCAGAAGGCTGGCGGTTCAAACCCACCAGCCACTCTGTGAAAGGAAGACTGGCCAATATACTTCTGCAAAGATTTACCGCTTGGGAAACCCAATGGGGGTTGCTATGAGTTGGAATCCACTGGATGGCAGTGGGTTTGGTTTGAGGAACATATACAATTATATACACAAATATCTGCCTTTTATCGAACTTCTCGGGACGACAGGGCTCAGGAACTTGTACTTTAAAGCTTATGCTGGGAACCCTGGCCCAGCCGGTGTGGCTCAGCTCTGGGGACGGCTCCAGGTGTCAACAGTGCGCTAGAAACGCTCAGCTGTCGGTGTCGCTGGGCCTGGTTCGAGTCTCACTTCTGTCAGTTCTGGGGAAACTGGGGCGGCTTTTTCGCCAGTTTTCGAACGGGGGTCCTAACAGAGCGCGTCCACGCTGCAGAGAGGAGGAGCAAGCAGGTACCCACGACCACTTCGATACCCCGCTTCGGCGACCACCTTTGCTGGGTGTTTTCCTGCCACCCAAGCCCGCCCTGCCTCCACGCCAGGCACCTTCCCCCGCCTGGCCATTGGGGTGCGACGCGCGCGGCTGGCTCGTAATGGGTCGCTAAAGGCACCCTAAGCCCTGCTTCCTCGTGCGGCGCAGGGCGGGCCCGGGGCTCGCCGTCCCCCGCCCCGGCCCCGAAACGGTCTCCTTCCCACGGGCAGCGCCGGCTGGGGCCTCACCATGTCGGCCGCTCTGTCTCGGAGGACGAGCTCGGGCTCCCGTGGCCCCTTGGCCCCGGCGGAAGGGCGACCGGCGGGTCAGAGGTCAAAGGACGCTGCGAGAGTGCGTGCGCGAGGCGGCACCGGGCACGTGTGCAGCGTCAGTGCTCTGAGGGGCGGTGCTCCGGCAGTCACGTAACGGGATGGGGGCGGAGTCTGCCTCAGCCCAGGCGCGGAGGACCAACGGGAGCGGGCGGTGGGGGGCGTTCACCAGGAGCCCCTGCTCTAGGAGCAGCGGAATGTAAGGGTGGAATGTGGGGCAATCTCTTCCCTTGATTTTGCCAAAATATTTGAGACTAAAACATTATATAAAATAAACATACAGTCCACCTCAACATAATATAGAGTAGGATATCAACTTCTTACAGTATTTAAGCAAAAGGGGAAACCTTAAAATGTTTCATTCTAGAATCCTTGTGCCTGGAAAGTTCTTTCCCAGACTCTTGTGAGGTTCACTCCCTCACATCCTTCAAGTCTTTGCTCAAACGTTACCTTTTCACCTTTTCAATGAGGTCCTCCTGGCCCCATAACCTGTTGCTGAAAAGTGGATTCAGATTCATAGTGATCCTGTTGGATCGAGCAGAACTGCCCCCATAGGATTTCCAAGGCTGTAAATCTTTATGGACGCAGACTGCCACATCTTTCTCCCGCAGAGCGGCTGGTGGATTCGAACTGCCACCTTTCTGTTAGCAGCCGACCTGCTTAACCACAGCAGCACCAGGGCTCCTTCCTAGCTCCCTACTAGCCTGCAACCTGGCCCTCCATTGCTTTTTATTTAATAACAGCTGTTCTGAGGTATGAATGAGTTCTGGTGGCACAGTGGTTAAAGCGCTGGGCAGTGCGAACCCACCAAATGTTGGGTGGTGGAAAGATGAGGCAGTCAGTTTCCATAAAGATTTACAGCCTTGGAATGGGGCAGTTCTACTCTGCCCTCTAGGGCTGCTGTGAGTCAGAATTGACTATGGCAGTGGGTTTGGTTTGGGCTAAGGCATCTGACTGCTAACCAGAAGGCTGGCAGTTCAAACCCACCAGCCACTCCTCGGAAGTAAGATTGGGCAATCTACTGCAGTAAAGATACCACCTTGGAAACCCAAGAAGGGGTCGCTGAGTCAAAACCGGCTGGATGGCAGTGAGTTCGGTAAAAATGACAGACTTCGAAATGCTATGGTGCAGTTCTCCTCTGGCCTCTAGGGGCGCCATGAGTTGAATCGACTGGGCAGCATCAGGTTTTTGTTTTCTGGTGTTAAGACATACTTCACCTAACAAAATCCACCCTTTTAAAATGTACAGAGCAGTGGTTTTACTATGTTTGAGCTGTGCAGCCAGCACCAAGATCAGCTTCCAGGGCATTTTCATCACAACAAAAGAATCCCCCACACACACCATTCGCAGTGAGTCCCCAATCTCGCCTTTCTCTCAGCCTCAAAAAAAGAACAGGTGTGGAGTTGATCCTGACTCGGGGCGACCCCAAGTGTGTCACACAAGAACCGTCCTCCATAGGGTTTTTAAAAGCTGATTTCTGGGGAGAAAATCACCAGGCCTCTCTTCTGGGGCACCTCTGGGTATCAACTGCTGACTGGTTACCATGGAGGGTGCTGCATGGTACATGTGACAGCTTGGCCAGGCTACAGAACTCCGTTATTTGATCAAACACTGGTTGAGGGGGAGCTAGCTGTGGAGGGATCCTACGGCTGTGGTGAACACCTACAATCAGACGAAAGGCCTGAAAAGCAAACCTGAGATTTCCCAGAAGAAGAAGAAATTCTACTTTAAAACTGCATCCCTGACTCCTGCCGAGTTTCCAGCAAAGATTTGGGACACAAAAGCCCATAACCGTTGCCCAGTCCATCCTCTAGGACAGAGTGAACTGCACCACAGGGTCTCCAAGGCTGTCAATCTTCACAGAAGCAAAACCCAAACCACACCCACGGCCGTGGAGTCCATTCTGACCCACAGCGCCCCTAGAGGACAGAGTGGAACTGCCCCACAGGGTTTCCAAGGCTGTCAATCTTTATGGAAGCTTACTGCCCCATCTTTCTTGTGTGGAGCCTTGGTGGGTTCAAACCGGCGCCCTTTTGGTTAGTAGCCAAGTGCTTAACCAATGTACCACAGGCTCCTTTAAATCTCTTTTTATATCTTTATGTCTATCTCCTACTCATTGTTTCTCTGGAGAACTCTGAGATAATCCCTGTGTGGAATGAATGAATGAATGAACTCCCTAGGAGCATGCAGCTGACAAGGCCTTATGAGCAAAGGGAGGCTCGGGTCGAAGGGAGCCCAGGGCCAGACTGCCCTCACCCCTGCTCCTGTTCCAGTCCACCTCCCAGCCAGCACCGAGAACAGCAGCACATGAAACGACCAACTCGGGAAACTTTAATGGCTAAGGACATCCTGGTGTGTGCAGGCATGCGCCTGTGGGGCTGACACCCCTTTAACTGAGCCATCAGCTCTGGGGGACCCCTTCTCCTGGGGAGCAAGGGCAGCTGGTCCCGGACCCCTGAGGCGGTGCTGCTCCAAACGGCCTGGTGGGGGTCCAGCCCCTGAGGCCCTGGACCAGAACTGGGGCAGCAGGCAAGACGGGGTCGGCGTGTAGGAGCTGAAGGCACTGGGCGAAGCAGCCCAGGTGGGACCGGCCCAGGTCAGTGGGGTGGGGTGGAGCCCAGGGCCCTCCAGGGACATGCTCAGTGAGCCCCCTGGCTCTGTATGCTGCCCGGCAGCCGAGGAGAGGCAGCCGGGCTCAGAGCAAGCAGAGTGCGGACAACCCCCAGGAGTGGCTGGGGGGCTGGGGGCCCATAGGAAGGCCCGAGGCCCAGAGGAAGCCCGGCTTCTGGCGATGAGGTGCGCTGGGGCCAGAGAGGCATCTTGCAGTCTGAGGATTAGACATGAGGGGTGCAGAAGCCCCAGGTGGTCTGGGACGAGAGGGGCAGGTGAGGCCAGAGGTGAAGGGTGAGCAGGTTAGTCCTGGGGGCATAAACACAGATGTGAGAGGGAGGTGGGCACCCTGTAGGGGTGGGGAGGAGAGTGGCCAAGCTGGAGGGGGGAGGGGAAGGAGGGTGGTGAGGCACGGTGGTGCTGGGGTCATCCGTCTACTCACCCACTCATCCTCGTCCACACCCTCAAAAGAGTCCTGGGGGAGCGGGTCCTCACGGTTCCCGAGCTTTGCCACCATGGCGTTCAGGAGCTGGGAGAGTGGGCAAGAGAAAAGTCAGGAAGGGACTAGGTCTCTGTGCCCCAAGAATGTCAGACCCCAACATTTACACCAGTTTACACTCTGGTAGCATAGTGCCTAAGGCACTTGACTGCTAACCAAAAGGCTGGCGGTTCAAACCCACCAGCCACTCCTCGGAAGGAAGGTTGGGCAACCCTACTTCCGTAGTGATACTGCCTCGGAAACCCAGGGAGGGGTCGCTATGAGTCGGGGCCGACTTGACGGCAAATAACAACAACAACAACAACACGTAACAAGAAGTTAAAACCCTAACAAAGTTGGAGGGTGTTCACAGAAAAGGATGCATAGACCAGGGTAGGCTGGGAGGGAGAGGGTGGGACAGACACGAAGATACCAGAAACCCTGGTGGGGAGGCTGTCTCTGCCCGTGCACCAGGGGCCCCAATGCACTTGGGTTCAAACCCCCGGTTCACTGGGTTAAGGCTGGATGGTGCATCCCTCACGGCCCTCACCTGGCCTCAGTGCTGGGTGGGCGGCAGTGGGCCAGCACTCAGGGCTCTGGAAGGTGACCTTCTGCCCCTTTCTCCACCCCACCGACTCCCCTGCTTCCTTCCCCTCTCCCCAGTGCCTCATCCCACCTGGGGTCATTCGGGGGGGCTGCCTGTGTTCCCTCCCACACCTACCTCTTCATTTTTTTGCTGGTCTGACTTCTCTTCCAGGTAGAGTGCTGAGGAGGGGGCCCGCCGGGCAGGGGCCTCGCGGGGGGCCTGGCTCACTGGTGTGGGGCAAGGACAGGCGTCAGGGAGCACCCCAGGTCAGGGCTTGTTGCCCAGACCTTAGGAGCCAGCCCTTGGGGATTCCATGGCAGAGATCCAAGAGGCCTTTCCCTGGCTTCCGCGCTGGTGCCTGGTGTTCACAAGGTCTGCCCTGGGCACCGGGGTATGTGCCCATGAGTTAGGGGTGGGGACTTGTGAGGGCAACACAGACCATGGGCCCTGCCTCCCAGGGGCTCAGATGTTGAGTCTGGCACCCCCCACCCCCCAACCATCCTTGGGAGTTCCAGAAGTTTCTGGGTGGCAGCAGAGAGAGAGATTAGACCTGGGCCTTCTGCCCCTGCCTCCACCCCACCAGCTCCCCTACCTCCTTCCCCCTCCCCCAGTCCCTCATCCCACCTGGGGTCATGCCAGGGGGCTGCAGGCAGAGGAGCTGGGGCTGCCCGTTAGCGCCTCCCAACCAGGCCTTGGCGCTGAGCACAGGCTCCCAGCTCACGGCCGTGTCTGGGAACACGTCGTCCTGGAAGAACTCTTTCTACAGGGAGGGAGGCAGGGGCCATTCTGAGGCACTGCCCAGGGGGCCGGGGTGCACAGGCATCCATTGCGAGGGGGTGTGGCGAGACCAGGGACCCCCCTCACTGTCAGAGTTTTCTAGAATCTCTACCCAGTGAGAAGGCAGTCGTTGCCTAAGAGTGATGCGTGGGGAAGTTTGGGGACGAGGCCAGGCAGGGCCCAAAGCCCCTGATGGGTACTGGGGAGGGAGGCTGGGCATGGGAGACTTGGCCCCCAACCTCACCCTGACTCGGGGTAGCCGGAAGGCCACAGGCTCCAGCGAGGTTTGGCGGAGCCGTAAGCATCGGGCAAACTCCACTTCCCGGACGTCACACTCGGACTTGGGCAAGAGGACGAAGCCCTGAGGGGAGGGAGTCAGTGGTGTGCTGGTGAGTGTGTAACCACCGTCTCTGGAGAAAAGCAGTCCTGATTCCTTTGCTTATCTCCATGGCGTAAATACTCCCCTCACGGTCAATTTCAAGGGACATGTAGCGATAGAAAGAGACCCACAGCAGAATCCTATTGCGTGGTATAGCCACCACACGGATGCGAGACACCGACAACCTCAAGAGCACCGAAAACCTACTAAACTCACTAACGTCAAGTCGATTCCGATCCACAGCGCCCCTAGAGGACAGAGTGGAACTGCCCCACAGGGTCTCCCAGGCTGTCAATCTCCACAGAAGCAAAGCCCAAACCACACCCTCTGCCATGGAGTCTATTCTGACTCACAGCACCCCTAGAGGACAGAGTGGAACCACAGGGTCTCCCAGGCTGTTAATCTTCACGGAAGCAGACAGCCTCATCTTTCCGCGGAGCCAACCTTTTTGGTCAGTAGCTGAATGCTTTAAGCACTGTGCCACCAGAGCTCCTTCTTATAGCAATAAGGCGTGATAAATGTTGAGTGTTTATTACCTTTGCTTTTACTACAGCTTACTTAATGCTAAGCCCACAGGGAGTTCCTAGGTGGTGCAAACATCCACATGCTCAACTGTCAACTGAAAGGCTGCAAGCTTGAATCTGCCCAGAGACGACTATGGTAGTTAAGATCATGTGTCAGCTTGGCTAGGCCTGGTTTTGAATGGCTGGCTAGCTGCCTGTAATTATTCCCCATGATGTGATTGGTAATCAGCTCCATGGTGGAATCTACTGGAGCACCTGAATAGCCACCTTGGGGATGTGGTCTGCCCCCAGTACATAAGGAGAAGTTTTGAGAAAGCTCTCAGCAGCTCTTTGGCAGCTTGGACCCTGCATGTAGCTGAGTCTTCACTCAGCAGTCCGCCATGTTTCCTGCTGATCTTGGGACTGTCTCTGGACTTGAACTAGTGGCCTGCCATGTTGGGTGGTAATCTTGGGACCGTGCCATTTTATTTGTTGACCTTGGGTTTGTTAGCCTCGGCAGCCAGTAGCTGCTTGCGTTAAGAAAAGCCTCTAGCTTTAGTGGGCCAGGAGCAAGAGGCAGAGCTGAAGCCCAAGGTCAACGGGCTTTCACCCAGCCCCTAGAGCTGCACTTTGAACTCCTCGGACCTCCAGCTGCCAAAACTATACGAGAATAAACTCCCTGTTTGTTAAAGCCACCCATTTGTTGTTTTCTGTTAGAACGGCACAAAGAAACCAAAATAGTGCCTCAGAAAAAAGACCTGGCAAACCCACAAAAAAGCAGCCATTGAAACTCTATGGGGCCTTGTTCTACTCTGACATACACAGGGTCGCCATGAGTCAGTTGATGGCAACTGGTAAGTTTATGCAATTTAATTTTGACTAATGATCGAGTTTAACAACTGGCTCACAGAGTTCCTGGAAATGTCACATTCTGGCTGGGGCCTGCCTCCAGCCCACCCCCAGTGCTAATCTTGGCAGGTCCTTCTAGTCCCAGGTAGGTCTACCTCGACAGATGCATGCACTTCCCCAAATGGCCAGAAGAGGGCGAGGGAGCCCTGCAGGCCCATCCAAGGAGCCATCTGGGATGCCCAGAGCAGGCCCCAGAGCTGGGGGCTTTGTGTGGGGCTCACCTTGTGAGGGTCTGTCGACGTGAAGCTGTTGCATTCCAGGAAGAAAGGGGCCTCCGGGAGCAGCTCGTACAAGAACACACGGGTATCACCCTGGAGGGGAAGTGGGGGTCAGGCGGCCAGTTAAACCTCATGGGTTCCCGCTTTCCTCCCACCTCCTCAGCTTCCCACCGCCCCACCTGGCTGACTCCAGCCCACCTTTCCCGTAAGGAACACCAGGCCCGTGTCTGGGTCGTAGCTGGGCAGCAGAGTTGAGGGGGCCACGTCCAGGCCCAGCACAGCCAATGGGCCCCCCGCCAAGGCCTTGGGTGCATACAACAGCAGCTGGCGCTCACTGCGGCTGCAAGGGGGGCAGGCAGGTCTTTAGAGCTTGAAGGGCCTGAGGCAGGGCAAAGACTCCAAGGACCATGATCCTGTTTGGAGGGGAGCTGGAGGGCCAGAGGACACTGAGAGAGGACTTGATCCACCCTCTGCCTTGTCCGGCCCTCAGCAGCCCTGCCTCCGGCCCCTCCTCCTGGCTGCTGCCACCCGCTGACACTCCTCAGTCTCACAGCTGCTGGGCACCCCAAGTCTGGTCTTTGAGGCCTTGGCTGGCCTTCTGGGACCTCTTTTCCCACCTTCTGCTTCCTCCCTCTGCTCTGGACGGGCTGGTTCAGCTTCCTGGCCCCCAAACGTCCTCTTCTCAGATATCTGGTGACCATCCCCTCCATGACCCAGGCCACATGGCGCCTCTTTCAGCAGGCCCTCCCTGATTCCTCCTCAGATGAGCCAAATGCCTCTCAGGTCTCTCCAGGCGGTGTGGCTCTGTGTTTTCTGCAGCTGACCTGGCTCCCTGCCAGGCTTGCTCCCATCCCTCTGGGTCCCCAAGTGACTCACTCCTTCCCATCTTCCCCATCTCCTTCCCATCCAGCCATCCGTCTATCCACCCACCCTCCATCTGTCTGTCTGTCCTCCATCCATCTACCTGCCTATCCCCCATCCCTCCCTCCCTCCACCCACCCACCCACCCACCGTCCATTCCTCCATCTATCCATCCCCCATCCATCTACCTACCTATTCCCCATCCTTCCCTCCACCCACCATCACCCATCCATCTATTCACCCATTCTTCTGTACATCCCAGTAAGTGAGGAGTGGGCAAGTGTCTGCCAGCCTGACGGCTGTGTGTGTTTGAAGAAGGGAGACGTAGGTGACAGCGAGCCAGGGGGCGGGGATGGTGGACCCTGAGCCCTCACCTGTCAAAGCCGGTCACCAGGAGACAATGGCCATCACACACCCAGACAACACGGGCTCCACGACCCCCCTCGGGCCCTGGGCCTTCCTGTTGGGGTACAGCACGTGAGGCCCAAGATGGGCCTAAGGGCCACCCCCAGCCCACGCTTGCTCACCTGCAGGGGTTCAGGATCACTCCGGGGCGCATAGACCCGCACGTGTCCATCCTTGCAGACAGTGGCCAGCTGTTGCCCATCGGGACTCCAGGCCAAGCTGAAGATCTGGGGGGTGGGGATGGGGCCGTGAGAGGCGGCCTCTGGCCTTGTGCCTGGGCCCCCACCCGGAAGAGCTGCCTTACCTGGTCCTGGTGGCCCCGTAGCCTCAGCCGCGCCACTCCAGCCTGGAGGTCCCAGATGCAAATGGTGAGGTCGTAGGAAGAGGAAACCAGTACGTCGGCCGCCAGCGGGTGGAAGCGCAGGGAGTAGATCTTCTCCGTGTGGCCTGGGGGGGGTCAAAGGGGATGAAGGGTGACAACCAGCGCCTCAGGAGCTCCTGCCTGCAGCCCCCATCCCCGGCCCCACCTGACCTGTGAGCACAGCTGCAGGCCTGGTGAGCACTTCCTCCAGGCCCCCTGGGGGCACCCGCCACAGTCGGATCCTGGCATCTTCCCCGGCTGCAGGAGACAGTGGCTCAACACTGCTGCGCTCCAGTCCCGCAGCTGCCCCCCGCCCCCATTCAGGGTCTGGGACCTGCCCACGCGCCCGATGATCCACCTCCTTACCCACAGCGAGGCGATGCGGGTCAAACGGGTCCCAGGCTAGGTCGGTCACGGCTACCCCGTTCTGCAGCGTGGGGAGCGCCGTGTCGGGCAGGCGGCCAGGCTTCCGCAGCTGTGGGAGGTGGCCCCCATGGCCCATGAGTACCAGGCAGGGGCACCCAGTCCCCTTGGCCTGGGCTGCAGTGGAAGCAGCGTGCCTGGACACCCTCGCAGCTGATGTCCCCATTGTAGAGTGGCCCAAGCTCCCTGCCTCAGCCACCTCATGCTCTAAGCCCCAGGTGCCAACTGTGAGGCCCAGAAGTCAGGGTAGGGCAGCGTGGAATTGTGGAAAGAGCTCAGGCTTGGGACACCAAGGGCTTGGGTTCGACTCCCAGCTCCACCACTTACACAGCTGTGTGACCTCAGGCAGGTCACTAAGCTTCTCTGTTTCTCAACGCCTCATCTGTAAAATGGGGATCAGAGTGGCACCTACCGCATGGGGAGGCTGGGTGGATGCCTGGCACACAGCGGGCACTCAGCAAACACGAGCTGAGGTGGGTCCCTGATGCCCGTGGTGACCTGGCTGCCTTGTCTGCAGGCCCTCACCTCGAGCACGGCCACCTGTCCCCCGCTGCTGAGCAGGGGCACCGCCACACGCAGCCGGTTGGCACAGAAGCCGTCGCTCTCACCGGGTGTGGTGAGGTTGAGCCCCTTGAGGTTGGTGACGTGGCTGTCTCGGTGCAGGACAGTGCCCTGGGCGTGGCGGAACTTGGAGCTGGGGCCTGGCGGGCAGCAAGGACATGGCATGCGTGAGGATGCCCACTCACCTGCCCACTGGCCCCTGCAGGAAGAGCCCAGGCTGAGTCCTGCTGCCCTCACTATGTGAAGGCTTCCGGGAGTGTGCCCAGGCCAGCCCTCTGGAGGAGTGGAGCCCACTGGGGCGGACCCTTGCTTTTGTGTGGCTGATAGCATCTTGGGGTGGAACTCGAGGTTCCAGGGGACACAGCTGGGAAACCACTGCTTTGATAGATGCTCCAGTGGCACAGTGGTTAAAATACTCAGCTGCTAACCAAAAGGTCGGCAGCTAGAACCCTCCAGCTGCTGGGAGGGAGAAAGATGAGGCAGCTTGCTTCTGTAAGAACTGACAACCTTGGAAACCCTATGGGCAGTTCCACTCTGTCCTCTAGGGGCGCTGTGGGTCAGAACGGACCCCACGGCAGTGGGTGTGGTTTGGGCTTTGCTTCTGTAAGGACTGACAGCCTTGGAGACCCTGTGGGCAGTTCCACTCTGTCCTCTAGGGACACTGTGGGTCAGAACGGACCCCACGGCAGTGGGTGTGGTTTGGGCTTTGCTTCTGTAAGGACTGACAACCTTGGAGACCCTGTGGGGCAGTTCCACTCTGTCCTCTAGGGGCGCTGTGGGTCGGAATCATATTCAAAGCCAAAACCAAACCAAACTCACTGCCATCAAGTCAGATCCTACTCATGGCGGCCCCTCCTTGGATTTCTGAGGTGGTGTCTCTACAGAAGTAGATTCCCAATCTTCCTCCCGAGGAGTGGCTGGTGAGTTTGAACCTCCAGCCTTCTGAGTAGCAGTCAAATGCCTTAGGCACTATGCCTCCAGAGCTCCTCTATCCATGGCAGTGGCCTTGATTTGGTTTAGCTTTGCAGATAAGACCTACCTTCTTCAGTTTATCCTCAAGATAAAGTGGACTCCACTAGTGTGAAGAAGGGTTGGGAGTATGGGAGGCAGGGGTGGGGGAGGTGGAAGTGTGGGAGGTGGGGCTGAAGCTGCAGAGGAACAGGGATGCTGTTTGGGTGGGGGGTAGAGGAGGGTCCCGTGGAGGGGTCTGTCCTGGCCACTTACCCAGCAGGCTCTGCAGTGACCTCTGGCTGGGGCTCGTACCAATACCACTGGTGCTGGAGCGTGAGGGGCCCAGGCTGGAGGGTGTGGACGGCGAGGGCAGTGAGCTGGGCGGAGAGGAGAAACCCTCCTGGGGAGAAGCACAGGGTCAGCGAGGTGCCCAGGTTGCCACCCCGGGCCCCGCCTAGCTGTGGGCCCCTCAGGGTCAGCGAGGTGCCCAGGCTGCCACCCCGGGCCCCGCCTAGCTGTGGGCCCCTCAGGGTCAGCGAGGTGCCCAGGCTGCCACCCCGGGCCCCGCCTAGCTGTGGGCCCCTCAGGGTCAGCGAGGTGCCCAGGCTGCCACCCCGGGCCCCGCCTAGCTGTGGGCCCCTCAGGGTCAGCGAGGTGCCCAGGCTGCCACCCCGGGCCCCGCCTAGCTGTGGGCCCCTCAGGGTCAGCGAGGTGCCCAGGTTGCCACCCCGGGCCCCGCCTAGCTGTGGGCCCCTCAGCTGGGCACGACCCGCTGTGGGGCACGGGATGAGAGTGGGACAACACAGATGCTGGCGGGGCCAGGGGTGCCGAAATGAGGAGGGCACCAGGCCAGTCAGGCCTAGGGGCTGTGGGGGCAGCTTCTGGCCTCAGCTCTGAGGGAGGCCAGTCAAGATCTTCCAGTATTTCAAGAGAAGCCAGAAACTCGAACTTTTGCATGAAAACCCCTGCTTTGTAAACGTTTACTCAATTAAAAAATATCAGTAAGTTCTTTCCTTGTGCTACTTGTATTTATCTATGTGTTGTGGACGGAAACCACAAAAGGGTAAAGATGACTGGGCAGGCCTTGGCTCAGGGCGCTCAGGGTGCCAGCGGTGGGGAGGACCCTCTAGCCTCCAGACTGAGGACGCCATGCTCCTAGGCGGTGAGGCGGCACTTACGCTGGGTTCTGTGTCTTCCACCAATACCTCTGCAGGCTGGGTGGGGTCAGGGGGCGGTTCCGTGGCGGGCGGTTCCGTGGGGGGCAGCAGGGGAGATGTGAAGCTGGTGTAGGGCCGGTGGGCTGGGTTGAGACTGACCCTCTGTACCTGCAAGGTAGGAACGGCCATCAGTGTTGTGGGCAGCTCAGGGGGGCCAGGCAGTGGGGGACACGGGGCACCCTGTCTATTCAGAAGCCTCTGGGGGCTGCTGCCAGGGGGAGCCGTGAGCAGGCCTGGGTCCTACCTGCTGGTTGCTCCCAGCCCACCAGGCCTGGGGCTCAGAGGCAGGCACACAGCCCACGGTGTCTGGGAACAGGTCTTCATGGAATTCCACGGCCTGGTGGACAGGAGATGGGCAGGGGGCCAGTGAGGCCCTGGGCCCCCTAGGCCCCCCAGCCCCTCACCCGGGTCCCCGTCACCTTGCGGGGCACGTGGTAGCTGATGGGCAGGATGGCTGTGTCACTCAGCTGCAGGACACGGAGCACCTCGCAGTCGAGGACGGCCAGTGCCCGCCGGGGCACAAGGGCTGCTCCCCGCAGTGTGCTCTCCAGGATGTACTGGTTCACTGGGGTGGCAGGGGTACCACGGGAGGCCGGTCAGGGATGAGGAAGAGAAAGGAGGAGGGACAGGAGGAGGGTGGGGCCTTACCTGGGCTTAGTGCTGGCTGCAGCGTGGCCACTTCGTAACACAACAGCTGACGCTCGCCCTGGAACAAGCCGGACCTGAGCTGCACCCATTCACCCCACCCAGTGGCCTGGAGGGCACCCGGGTCTAGCACTAGCTCCCCCTGGTGTCCCCAAGGAGCTCAGAACCATGGCGGCTATCTCCTGAGCCTTCACTGTACATCTCCCTGAGCTGAACCCTTCATAGACTTGATCTTGCTACCCTAGGACTATACATTCAGGACTTGGAAAGCACCTACTGGGTGCTACATACCTCTCTATTCTCTGCCTTGTTCTCATGAAGCTATCTAACTAAGGGAGCTCTGGTCGCCCTGACTACAAGGATGAAGACATGTGGACACCTCAACCCCTCTGCCCTGCAGGAGGCAAGCCCTTCCTCACCCCTCCTCTCTCAGAGGGGGTCAGCCTCCCTGCTCCCCACTTTCTGGCTGGACGACTGCTGGAAGCCTGGGGCTGGACCCTGGGCCTGGGGTAGGGTGGGGGCTCCAGCTTTTCGCTCACCTTTCCCGCCAGGACAAGGAGCCCAGAGTCCGGATCCAGCAGGGGCATCAGGGACCTGGGGGAGATGAGCCGGTTCTTGGAGGCTGCAGCCTGAGCGTCTCCAACCCCAGATATGGGCTCAGGGCAGGTGCCACCAGGAGCAGGAGTACTGTTACCCACAGTACCCAGCCTGGTCTTGAGGGCCCTTGTCTCCTCTCCTTGAGCACCAACATGGCAAACACACGTCTTCTCCATCTCGGCTCTTTTTTTTCCCAGCCCTTTCCTGACCTCCCTGCCTGTAGTGGGGCTGGGCACAGGGTTCCCCCGTCCACCTGCACCTGCATGCTAGTGCTCACCCAGGAAGGCCCCACACATGTTCTGTCCCTGGTTTCACCTTGGCCAACCCAGACATCAGTAACATAGGGAGGGGGAGGGTGTGCATGAACCAAGGACCCCTCCCCACCCACCCAGGGCTGCCTGAGCCCCTCATTCATCTACTGACATCTGGGGCCATCTGCTCAGCTAGCCCCCGGGCCTTGCAGAATTCTTAGGGGCTCCGATCCTCCCACACCTGACTTTAAGCCCTGGGCCCACCTGAGTCGGGTGCTCCAGGAGAGGGTGCTTCCCCACTGGCCCCAGCCAGCAGGGGACAGGTCTGTCCTGCCCCTTCTCTGGTCCCCAGGAGGGGCATGGTAGGTGGGTGTGACTGCTGGCAATGAGAGAGGACAGGACAGGACAAGCTGGAAGCCCCAGAGCCCCTGTTAGTCTCCGCCTGGGATCTACAAGGCCCTGCTCTGGGCCCTGCCCAGGCCCCCACAAGCACAGCTGCCGGCCAGTGAAGGCCCTCTCATGATTCTGTTTTTTGTCTTGGTCTCACACTGCTGGGAATCCATGGGCCCAGAAACCTCCTGACTCCCCTCAAACAGAACCCTGTTCCCACTGTGGTTCCAGGGTCAGAGGTCACCCAGCTGTGACAGCTGGCTCTCTCCCTCACCTAGGCAACACAGGCCAGGCCCCGACCCCCTTCCTGACCAGCTGCCCACAGTATGCCTGCCACCCCCCACCCTACCAGGAACCAGAGCGTGCTGGGAAGCTGGGTGGGGACCCCATGTCTCCACAACTTCCTGGAGTGCCCTGGGCAAGTCACCTGTGAGTAACACAGGCCCCTAATTACCTTGTGCCAGCAGGGTGAGCTGGCCTGTCACTGCTGGCCCTCAGCTGGTCTGACCACTGCCTGCCACAAAGGCGGGGGACAAAGAGGGCATGTGATCTGGAGTGCCCCCAACACTGACCCTGACTGCTCCCCTTCGGCAACCTGAGCAGAGTTTCCATTCATTCATTCACTCGTGTGTGATCATTCATTCCCGTGACTCTAGCCCAGGCCCTTGGCTCAGCTGGCAGGTGTGACCAGAGGAGAGCGAAAGCCTCCCCAGGAGCTCACAGCTGGTGCAGGGGGCAGACAACAACTGTCTAACCCCCCACACGTCAGATGAGGGAAAGGAGAGGTCTTTAGGACATACGGCAAGGGGCTCTGATCATGGCTGGGCCATGGCCGAAGTGGGGGCCCTCCCTACCATATGAAGGTTGGGGAAGAATCAACTGCATCAAGGGGAGAGTCCAAGATGGGCATGCAGCATGTGCAAAGACCCTGTGGCAGCAGGTGCACGGCCCGATAGAGGGACGGGGAGAATATGGCATGTTGGCTAACCTGGACCGCATCAAGGGGAGAGTCCAAGATGGGCGTGCAGCATGTGCAAAGACCCTGTGGCAGGCAGGTGCACGGCCCGATAGAGGGACGTGGAGAATATGGCATGTTGGCTAACCTGGACCAGTGAGAGCTGGGGGGTAGTGTCGAGGTTCAGGATGTGGGAGGCTGAGGCTTGGGACAGGCGGGCAAAGCTTAGTGTACTGGGTGGGAGAGGGGTTTTGCCTCCATAGTACAAGCAACAAAAGCTGTTGAAGTTTTCTAAGCAGAGAAGGGTAGGACCCCATTTGCCCCGAGCAGAGGCCAACCTGGCTGCCCTGTGGAGATGGGTGAGAGGGGGCGTGGTGGTAATGTGGGGCTCAGGGCAGAGGCAGGTGGGCCCCTGTTACCCCTCCAGGCCTTGGCGAAACCTGGGAGTGGGCCTGCGGGTCCCATCTTGGCCCTGAGGGTTCTGTGCCCTAAACCAACATCTGGAAGGGGCTGGCCTGGGCGCCTTCAGCCCCACCCCTCAGCCTTGCCGGCCCACTGACTCAGATGCTGAGGGCATGGGGGGCAGGAAGTCAAGGAGGGCGAGGCCGGCTCCTCCAACAGGTCAGGCCAGTCTTCTTGGCTCTGTGCACAGCTATGTGGGCAGCCCTGCCAGGCAGGAGGATCCTGCCTGCCATGGCACAGGCTGGGAAATGGGGTCAGGGCACCTGGCCCCAAGGGCTGGCCAGCAGCTGGCACGGGCCTGACCCCAAGGCATCGTAAAGAGGGCCAGTGGAGCCCGGAATGCAGGACAGGAGGCCAGGCCTGGCAGAGGCCCAGAGGGGGTGTCACAAAGACACCACACCCTCTGCCATGGCACGGGGGGGAGTGGCTTCTGGGCCTGCCACTGGGGAGTGCTCTGACCTAGAGGTCAAACCTCAGACCAGAGTCATGGAAGGTCCAGAGTTCAGATATGCCCCGACCCCTCAGCCCAGGTCCTAGAAAACGCAGGACAATGGCGGTACCAAGCAGAGATCACGTCGGGAGAACGGGGCATTTTATTGTTGCTTTTGGCCATCAAGTTAGTTCAATTCCTGGAGACCTCGTGTGCAAAGTAGAACTGGTCTATAGATTTTTCAAGGCTGTGACCTTTCAGAAGCCAATCCCCAGGCCTATCTGCTGAGGTGCCTTTGGTTGGGTTTGAACCGCCAACCTCGTGTCTAAGCAGGTTTACTATGAAAAGTAACTTTAAGACTCCCCTTGGCCCCATGTCCAGCCCGTATCTGCCCTTCAAGCCCACCAACCTAGACGTCCCAGCGTGGCCTCTGGTCCAAGGCAGTCCAGGTCCCTTGGGTCTGCCCCTGCCACCCAGTCAAACCCTGCCCCACACTCCCTCCAACAAGGAGGTTCCAGGTAACCAGGTTCTAAGAGAGTCAGTGTTTGGAAACCATCGAGGCAAGGGTGGAAAAAGTGGGCAGGGGTCTCCTGGGAGGCTGATCTTGAACCTCTGGGTGGGTGGGAACATGGCCTGAGAAAGTCCAGGTGCAGCTTCAGGGTCTGGGGTGGGATCTGGGCTGCAGAGGGGGAAGGTCCCTCCATCAGTAAGAACGGGCCACAGAGGCGGGAGGCTGCCAAGGCCCAGTCATGAAGTCCTGCTCTGTGGAGAAAATCGACCTGGTGGTCCTCGGAAACCCCAATCTGTGCACTGTTCTGAAGGTCTCAGGGGACACATGGCTCAAGGACAAAGGCATAGGGACACTGTGACCAAAAGTCATAAAGCATCAAATGCCAGCCCAAATGCTTCCCAAGCCAGGCAGGAAATGCAACTGCATAAAACAGCTTGGTGTGAGACAAAAGGGAGTGGTGGGGACTGGGGCAACCTAGAGAGCCTGAGCCTTGCCTGGAGGGGCAGCAGCAGTAACTCAGTCTAACTGTGCCTGTTCAAGACAAGCTGGAAATCCCCATTTTAATGGGAAACCACCTGATTTTCATATTTTTGCCATTGCCTCAAAAATTCAAAAACTCCCACATAGGATTGCTAAGAGTTAGAATCAATTCGAGGTCAGTGGGGTGGGGATGGAGGCCAAAGGAAACCCCTGAGTAACAGGTACGTCTCAGGAGCATGGACTGGGGTACCAGCCTGTGGGATGTGGACCCCCAGCTGTCCTGGAAGGGGTCCTAAGGGCGAGAGGGCTCTCAGCAAGCGAGACAGCGAGTCTAGGTGACTGCTCAGGTGGAGAGTGAAGGGTACTCTGCCCAGCCCCTAACAACAACTGGACACAGGTCAGCCTGCTATCTGCACGACAGTCCTCCGGAGAGGATCCAACCCCCAGCTGGGGTGGTCCAGCTTCCAGCTGCCCCAAGACTAGAGCTGATTCTGCCCAGGGCCGTGGCTACGAGCTGTGCTGGAGGGTGGTGCCCCCGCCTGGGGGGAACACTGCAAGTCGGTAGCTGAGCTGGGCCCCCAGAGGCTCAGAGGCATGGCTCCAGCCAAAAGCATGGTGGGGGAGGTGGGTAGGACATTTTCCTGGAATCTTCCAAAGCAGGGGATTTTTCTAGACTGGTTCAGCCCTGGGCACCCTTTCCTCTGGCCCAGCTAAGGGCCACTCTCAGCTGCAGTCCAGACCCCACCCATGGAGAGTGAGGCCCCCCAGCCCCCGACCCCATGCTCTGGCCTTAAAGTTGCCAGTCACTGGGTCCTTGGGCAGGCTGCAGGTCACTTCATGGGAAATATGGGGACTGGGGTCCAGGGGGGCTGACAGCCTTAGAATCTGCAGTGGAAGCCTCTCGGAAGGGTTTGTGGGGCTAGCATGGGCTTTTAAATTGGTATTAGTTACTAAAAATAACACCTCCAGAGATTTCACCTAGAAATCCAGGTTTCTAGTTTCTTTAGAAAAATCTGGGGCCAGTGTTCTCCGGCCCGGGGGCTGGTCTCAGGCCCCGACCTCTGAGGCGCTCCACAGTGCCTGAGGTCCCCTTCTGAACTGTATGCAAGGGCGCCTCACTGCAGCTGGGATGTGACGTACTCTTACTCAATATTCTTGCAAAAAACAGGGACTTGCCCAAGGTCACGCAGCAAACTAGTGGCAGGCCAGACTAGTGCCCGGGACACCCTGGCAGACGATTACATTCTGAGGCCGGCTAGGTCTCTCCCCACCCGGTCTGGAGGTGGGTGGCAGGAGCGAAGCCTTGGCCAGGGGGCGGCCAAATGACCCCTTGAGCGCGAGGGAACGCGGGGCTAGCTGACCCCGCCCCGCCACGCCCCCAGGGAGCGGCCCCGCCCCCGGCTCTTAAGGCGCAGCCCGCCTCCCGGAGCCGAGTTGGAGCCCGAGCCCGGGGCGGGGAGACGCGGACGCGCCTGTCTCGGGACCCCGGGACGCACGACCCGTCGGGCCCGGCCGGCC